CGCCAGTACGGGGGATTAATAATAAAATAATTCCAACGTGTTTGGTAGGTAATACAGGTACGGGTTACTCTGTTTCCTTTTCGTTCCCTGCCGGTTAACTTGGCTGCTCGACGCCGCATTTTTACGGATCGCGTTTGCAGAAGAAAGTACGGTATCGCGAGGTGTGATAAATAAAAGAACGCTGTTTCGCGGTGTTTTTATTATTCGGAAAGCGTGAACTTGATGATTTGTAACGAGACGAGGAGGGGTTTGGAGAAAGCCGTAAGAGCTGGTTCAAATTGAAATTATCTTAACCCCTTGGGCTACCATTTAAGCGTTGAGAATTGTGCGTTCGGGAAGCACTCAGTTTTCATTAGTTCTTGTATGTGTACTTCGTTCGCGACAAATTTGCCATGTTCATTTTGGAATCTGTGCTCGGTGATTTTGTTTATTTTAAAACGTGTTACGTATTATCTTAGTGTGAGTGTAGCATCGTTAAGATTATCTAAGATTTATATTATTGTAATAAAATTATAAAAGGAAAGCTAAGGAAGGTTTTTTAAGGATGTTGTGGAAAATATATTACATGATTAATTCAATTAGAATTCTATCGTGTCAGGGTTTAAAAAGAAATTCGAGAATTCTTATTTCATTGTGTAGCTTATTTTCGCGAGATTAGGGCGTAAATTTTAATAATACATCTAGATTAAAATATTTCTATTATTTTTTGGGAGTGAGAATGTGCACGTGATCCAAGAAGTCAAATTAAACTGTTCACCAGAAACGAGGGGTGAACTTGTCAGGAATATCGAAAATATTAAATTTAATCGTGCTAAATTTAAATACTATGAATCATTCTATTGCTAAGTATATTTTTATAATATTTTTTATAATATTTAAAAATATTTATATATTTTTATAGATTTAGTTGATTTAATATTCTTCTAGATTAAAATATTTCTATTATATTTTGGGAGTGAGAATATATACGTTATCCAAGACATCAAATTAAATTGTTCACCAGGAACGATGGGTGAAATTGTTAGGAATATCGAAAATACTAAATTTAAGCACTATGAATCATTCTATTGCTAAGTATATTTTTATAATATTTTTTACAATATTACAAAATATTTGTATATTTTTATCTAAAGCTGGTAAATCTTGTAAAAAGGTATTACGTATATCTTTAACATTTTCTCTTTTTCCATCAACAATAATTTCTTCAAGGTACACAGTTTTTCCAAAACTATTCCCAGTATTAACTGGTTTCTTGTTTTTCTTATCACCGCCATATTGGAATTTATTTGCACTAAAAAAAGCGAACTCCTCGATTAATGAATTAATTATCTATTATCTTAATAATATTTAAATTAATTATTTATCAATCGTCTATTGAGTTAAATACCCAATATCACGTTCCATCGAGTTTAACAATGATGCCATCATTCAAAACCAATAATATAACGCGAAGATAATGGATTTACAACTTTGATCCTAATTTTTCTTCCTCGAGTACGATTTTCCAACGTCTTCGACCCTAACTTCTATTCTCGGCGTTAAACTAGTCGTATTCCGATTAATTAACGTTTAGGCGAGCCAAAAGGCAGGCCGAATTGCTTTCCATTCTTAGGGTCGTTTGGTGTCCGGCGTACCGTTACCATCGCTATCGGAAATTCGAAACAATGTCGGCCGTGTCGCGCGTGATAGATGGCAGCGCGTTTCCTCGGGGCCATTTCTGCCGTGACCACGGTGTCAGCCGTAAGGGAGAAACGGGATAATTAGCCGTGCTCGGAGCCGCGAGGTTCGCGCGAGTAAACGGCGTGTAAAGCGAGAACCGCGGCACGGGATAATCTGTGCAAGTTCGTTGATCCTCCTTCTTGTCCTTTTCTTGTAATTAGTCAGCGAGCTGGCCGAGGTGGAATAAGTTTCCATCTTCGTTCCCCGGTTGCCGTGGCTCGTTGTAACTGTGTTAACCCTCTATAACGTCGGGTGACTTGAAAGTTACATACTCATTTGTCTACGTTTTCTACTTTTCCGTTTTCTCATTCTTCTTTCCTTTCTTTTTACTCTTTCAATTTATTTCTTCGTTTCGCTCGGACAGCGTCGGATTTCGTCGGTATGCCATTATACTAGAATCTTCAGATAGGACTATTACTATTATTGATATTACTACTTGCTGACATTTACTATGACTATCTTTTAACTGGTGCAATTATCGTTACTATTATTGTTACCATTATTTTTTACCAATACTGTCTTAATTTTTGTTTTCACCTGAAGGAAAGTTTAGGTCTTTCTAAGTTAAGATCATTTAAGGTTTTTAGTCTTTTTAATCAAGGAGAGAAAAACTGATTTTGCAGAATTAAGTGTCAAAAATTGTAAGTCTCGTAGCAGTTTTTTAAAATATTTTTAAACCTCAATCATAATTTATCCCTCGTGTGATGAATTTAAAATTATTATTGGGAACACCTTTTGAGTACAGTTTACTTATAGATTACATAAACCATAGACTGAAAAATTTTCAGGGTTCGTTTTTAAAATATATATATATATACATTGAAATAATAGCATCCCTCTAATTTATTATAACAAGTGCTATACCTATGTACCCATACAGTACATCCCGTCTCAAATTTTCCCCATTCACGTGAAAAATAAGCTTTACAAAATAATATCATAGACAGGAGATTGTTTATTCCACTATATTCGGAAGTTAAATAAATGCATTGATAATTTTTGTTATATTTACAAAAATATTCTCTCCCTAACATCAAATCTGACATCCAATCTTGTAATTCTGTTTCTTTTAACTTACTCAAAGGAACTCTAAACGAACCACTATCTATTTCCTCGCAAAACAAACTGCAACACCAAAAAATGGGTAAATGTGAAAAGATGAGAGTGGTTTATCAATTACATATTTCCTTCCTGTCTAAGAGTCCGAAACGTTTCTCCTCTCGTACCATTTCTAAATTATAACCTCGTGTGACCCTTTCGATTGCCCTAATTTGGAAATCGCAGTATTTGGAAGAGCAAGGTGGGGATCCAACTGTGAAAGCGTGCAGATCTACTTGCAGACGCAATCTGCTGCTAAACACGAGCTTGAAGCGACCATGTGACCCATCCACTGAGCAGATCCCCATATTTCTACGTTAGTGATCAATGTCCAGTCGTGCCATCGCTAGCACACACTTCTTCGAACAGCACCATTTTTCTTTTTCTTTGAAAGATACCTCGCTCTTTGGGGGAGGGGACGGGATTTCGTGAGATTTGTATTAACTAAAACCCTCACGGTGGCCATCCTCGCTGCGCTGGGGGAGCATGGAGAACTCTGGCGAACGCAATCGGTACCCCCCGCCCCCTGGCATGCTCTGCAAGCTCCTTTGGCTTGGGTCCAAACCTGCCAAATTTTAGGCCATACACGTACGGCGCCACAAGCAACAATACCATCCCCAACCTAACCTAATCTAACATAACCTAGCCCTTTCTCGACACTATCACTCGCGTTCTCCAGATCCCAAACGAACCCCCATCGAGAAATTCTGCGAAGAAACGGATTGACAGATCGGAATCGTCTGCCAACGGGTGGAATAAAAGCCTGACGATGAAACGCGACCTCGATGCACACCGATCCCAATGTTCGCGAGCCCGGCGCTGTCGCGGAATGCGCGCGGAGACGAGGACGAAGACCGGTCTGGGGTTTGCGTGCAGCGATCGCGTTAGAACGCTGAATATTTCATTCATAAGCGAGCGATCAGCGTATTCCGTGTGTGCAAGCCGATCGTAGTACGAGTGGCCGCGAAGCGTGCAACGCAAGCGGGGGTAAATCGCGCCGGCTGCCGCCGCAATTACGACCGCGGCCCCCGTGAATGAAACGTCCGTCCTTTTTTTCCCTCTCTTCCTCCGCCTCCTCTTCCTCCGCCTGCTTCCTCCGGTGATTCTGTCCGTGGCGGCCGGCTCGACTGGCTTTTTGCGGAACGGAGGTTTAATGAGCGAGCGCCGCGGCCGTTCCACGCCGCTGAGGACGCGAGTGGATCGCAGAGACTCCGCCGCGGAACGCGCGACCTTCGTCGGGGTCGAGGGTCGCGACGCGCGTTTCAGGAACACGCGTGGGTCGGTGATTCAGTGACAGAGAGCGTTGGGTGCCCGCGTGGGTGTCATTGTTCGTGCCTGGTCAATGAGCCGCGGTGGACGGGTTTAATTGGTCACGTGCGAGTTCGTTTTTCAGGCTGCACTGATTTGAGAGAGGAGGAGGATGCTGATTTGATAACACTATGCCATCCGCACGTCTAATCGGGATTCTTTTGTTTGCTTCTAATAGGACTGACTCGCGTCAGATCATTTCGGAGCGAGAAGGTTTTTCGAGGTCCTCGGGAGATCGTAAATCGTCAAATTTTACTATTTCATTGTCAGTTCTCAGTTCTCAATCCTGTCCCTCTATTTTCTTGAAATTTTCAGGATATATAGTCAAACCTGTTTTTGAGCGATATTTGACCGATAGTTTTGCGCGTGATACCAACGTGATATCACCGATATTTGCCCGATAGTTTTCTCACGGTGTTGCGGCCCTAGGACCGTAATGTCCCAGGTCAAGTGGAGACGTCACTTGGAACGTGAGGGTCCTAATGCAGCAACAGTACATATTTGTGTTTCTCGGCCATAGTAACGCATTTACGTGGAACACATATATGCGTTCCTCGACCAAACTGATGGCTTCCACAAAGCGCATATATGTGGCGCTCGTCCGCAAGGGGTCAACGCGTTAAACGCCACGCTGGTCCCTAGGGTCCCTAGATCTGCGCTTGACTTTGCAGTAGGGCCCGCAAGACAGCTAACAATGTCGTGAACGGACCGCCACGTAAAAGCATCGTGGCGTTTAACGCGTTAAATTCTCAAATCCCCAATGAAACCGTTCGAATTAAAGAACAGAAATCGGTTCGCCAATGAATTCCAAAAAAATCCGAAAATTCAGGAATCGGAAGAACCGATTAAAATTACCAATTTTCTTCTGCTTGCAGAATTTCCGCGAGCACCGAATCGACGGAGCAGCGTTGCCCCTTCTCTCGGAGGACCACCTGACAGGGCCGATGGGAATGAAGCTAGGCCCAGCCCTGAAGCTTCGCGCCCTGCTGGCTCGGAAGCTGGGCGCCTGCACGGTCTGTTTGCACTGTGCACACTGCCATCAGACACCTCTCCCAGCACTGAATGCGGCCGCGGCCGCGGCAGCCGCGTCGCAGCAGCAACACCAGCAGCAACCGCAGCAGCAACAGTTGCCTGGAAGGCGGCCAAGCAGCACGGGAAACTGACAAACAATGGCGGAGACTCCTCTGGGCCCGGAGGGCGCGCTCACGCCCTCTACGGACCTGAACAGGGCCCTCAGGATAGAACGGCGCGTATCACGTCCCATACGTAAGCCGGAAGTAGTCTTCAAGAAGCCTATCAAGCAGTGACGTGGACCACGCGACAGCTTCCAAGCCTGTGCACGTGACCGCGGACGCTGTGGAGTTGCGGAGGCTCCGCCTGTCATTCAAGTGTTCGTTTCTAGGACGTTCGACGACGAGAAAGAGAGTTTCACGTATAATTGTATATGTATAGAGTACCTGGAGAAAAATGACTCCGATGGGTCGACCGTGTCGGAGCCAACATTTCACATCGCTGCGTTGTACTTAGATGCCTGGGTCGGTCGCATCGAAATTCCAGTGAAACGCTGTGACACGAAGTTGGTGACTGTCAAACAGGGCAAGATTACGAGAGCCGATGATCGATCCGCACCCAGAGGACTTGCTTTTTTAAGTTGGTTTCGATTGGAGTTAGAGGTGAGAAGTTCGTGGCAGATGTCACTTCGGGGTTCTGTCAATTTCTCGTGATCGCTATACGCGCCGAGTATCAGTCGATTTTCTCTTCAATCTTGCATTAATCCTTATCCCTCCCTACTGACTGTCAAATTGTTCTATCGACCAGTCCTTCAAGAATTTTTCTAATTGATCATGACAACTGACAAGGCTAGAGAAGAGCCATCAGAGAGAGAGAGTAGCAAAGTGGCATCTTCTGCGAACTTCTTACCTCCACCTTGCTCTAAAGAGACCTAGACATGGTCAGTGATATCGTCAATGGTATCGTCAATATTATCGTCAATTCGATTTGACAGTGAACTGCGTGTCAGTTGATCCTACAGGATTAGTAATATCGTCGATACTTTTCTATATTGACTACACTCGATGAATCAACGTTGTCAATCGTTTACGACATCGACGATATCGTTGACCGTGTTCAGGTCTCTCGGGAGTTGAAGGAATATTCGAGCTTGGAATCCGAATTTCAAGCTCCATTCGTCAGCGTCGTTCCAAGCGACGATCTTACCATTTTTGCTACCGTTTAAACGAAGACGAGCCTTCAGGAGACGATACTCAGTGCCTGAAACTCAGTACTTGCCCAGTAAGCCTGGGCAGCCCGATTTAGAGTTTAAGAGGCCACCAGTGGTACAACTCCTCATTGCTGATCCCTTCTAGTGAGTAATTTTTCGAGTCGTTGATAGACTTGTACCGCTGGTCAGGCTCGCAGGTTCTCTCTTCGCCGAGCAGGAAGTGGAGGGTGACTAACAAGTGTTAACGTTCTCGCGTTCTGCCCGCTTATAAATTAGGAATAGACACGCGATGAGCACAAAGGAGCTGACGCTGCGTGGTAATCAAATTAATTGGGATAGCAATTAGCGATTAGACCGCCTCGTTCGCGTGCTTATTTAAATTACATCCTTCGGTTGAAAAAATCGCCAGCCGGAAGCTGCGTGTTCGAACCTTCGTAAGCAATTAGCGTGTTAGGATGCAACAATCGGTTTCGCGCGGAACTAACGACCTTGAATACAGCGGACTATCGACTTGGCGAAGGAAGCGAGCGTTTTTTCTAGAATAATTATCGCGCAAATCGTGGTCCGTCCCAGAGAGACGGACGACTCGAGCAGATTCCTTCCTTATCATCAACGAAACGAGTGCCTATTTTCGAAAAATAAAAAAAGTCTTCCAAAAGGCTGGCCTTTCTTAGATGGATGAGATAGAGATGAGCGACTTGGTGATCTATGATGTGCAACTATATCGTTGGATATTCGTAATACTAATAAGCGATGCTGCTCCTTGTTACCTGAAACCGGAGTTTTTCGTCGAAGAAATGTTCATTGTACCGAGGAAAATTATTCGAGTTCTCTCGTGTGGCAAATTTGAAAAATGAGAGAAGACAGGTACGAGGAAGAATATATTGATCTTCCGACTCCGTGTTGTATCTTGAAATTTCATAAAATATACACCTGCTTCGAAAATATAAGATTGATGTTCTACGAGAGGAACGGAGAAAATTATTTTTGACCTGGAAATTTTTAAATGATTCGAATATTTTTTAGAGACGAGTAGGGTGTACATATAAATATGTATAAATGTGGAATAGAGGTACGATCGTGTGTGATGAACTCGAATAATTTCACGAACACCAACAACGACCAGAGACAGATCGAAAAAGTGCCGATCGACGATTCTATTCTTCATCGTCGAACGAAGAAGCGAAATCGTCGATATAAAAATTAAATGGAAACATTGAATATGTTAACATACAGGCTGTATGTATCGAACCGTGAGCAATTGTTATTGGCGAGAGTGTGTACGGGACGAATGAACGAACGATTGCATGAACGAGAGGGTGAGGGTGAGAGAGCAAAGAAGAGAGAGAACAAGAAAAAGAATAGAGGAAAAAGAGACAACACTTTATTAGGGAAAAAATTTATGTGCAATAACGAGGGAACGTTTTTCGACGCGGTACTTTTAACTCTTACGGATAGGATGATACGTATTTGCTCAAATCGTTGTTTCTTTTATATATTTTAACGAAGTTTTTATATGAATGAATTATAATGATAAAATATACTAAATTATATTTTTGCTAACGTTCTACGTGCAAACACACGGAGAAGATCCACGCGCGGGTACATTCATATACGTATAAAAACACACGTGTACACGCGGAAACATATTCGCATACACAGAACACAAAACAAACACGAACAAACATACGCGACATAAGACACGGATTAGTTGTCGATAAAGTAGGGAACGATATAGATTTACGAGATCGACGGACCCCGTAATATAGCTTAGAGAAACTGTAAATTAATTTTCTTCCTCTCTTATTTACAACGTTTAACGTTTATTTATTTAGCAAGTAAACCCGTTGCCTTATTGTATTCATGTAATAACAATTTAGTCGTAAAGAGAGATGCTCTAGGCGAGCCATCGCCGAGGCGGTTGTTAGAACGTGGAGAGTTGATAAGTTCGTAAGACGAGCAGTATTTTTAGATTTACATTAGCCTGAATTTACTGCAGACTATATACGTTTATAAATATTATGTATACATACACTTACACGCGCGTTCTCGCGCGCACAACATCTGCTCGTGCCTCCCAGCTTTGCATCTTTCTCCAATAACCTATACATTTTCCATCTCGTTCATCTCATCACCATTATGATCTCTCTTATAATATAATCCTTCACCTTCAGTCTCCATTTGTAAATCTTTCCTCTTAATTTATAACGTCGGATAAAATGATTCAGAAACTTCTACTGCGCCTAGTATATACCATGCACTTCTCCAAATTCTTCAGATTCTCCAAATTAACCTGACAGATCATGCAATGCATATATTCATCGCATTCTCATCTTACAACTCGTATTTGACTCTGGATTTTCTCATTAGAACCCAGATGACACGTGCACGTGTCTCCAGGTTCGCCAGAACTCTGAAAATAAATAGCTCAAACGCGATTACATCATGTATATTAACCGCATCGTATATATCTCACGAATTGCACAAATTTGCAAGGATTTCCTTCGTCGTGACTGCAAATAAACCAACGCGAATGAGTTAAGAACGCGGAGAAAGGGATGGTTGGATGGCACGAGCGGACATTAACCGAGCTAGCGGCTTTTACTTAAACCGAGATCACTGTACATAATGCTTAAGCATTTATTTATATCGTGCTTTTACAAGAGGACCCGTAGTATTTTATTTAGTTTCGTAGCAGAGGTTCACGCACATCATTACCCGCGTAGCACGAGGTCATTAAATCGTCAGGCAGCAGGAGACCGTTGTATCGAACGGATAATAGGAACAGAGAGCTACGGAATGCGTGTGTTTGTGTTTCAACGGAAAGAGAACGTGGAGAGGGGAAAATGCGAATGAAAATAGAGAGAAGAGAAAAGAGGAAAAATCGTGAAAATTGTACAGAAAATGTGGGACGATAAGGCAATCTTGTGATACTTTGATGATTTTATTTTCCACCCTTCGTTTCCCCCTCCGCGATTTACTTCTGCGTACCAACCATTATCCTCCCCATCTCACCACCCCTCAAAAATTCCTCTCGACAAAATCCCTTTTTTATTTCTCCGTCGCGAGTCTGTCGTGTATTATTCTACTGATTAACTGTCATATTATGTATAGTAGAAATTAATGGTGAAAAGAGAACAAGAACAGTACATTGTTTCTGTTAAAATAAACCTTGTTGAAAAATATCTCTGCTGGTGAAGTTGTTTTCGTTATAGACCCAGATTGTGTTGAGAGAATTTTGGTGATGCGTGTATGCTAGATTATGATTGGTGAGACGAGAGGAGTAACGATATAAAGGTATTTTAAACGTAGAATTACTTTATTATTGTAAATATAGTCCTTTTTCCGTTACAAATTCAGCTTTTACATGGATAGGCGTTAAATCGTGATCTACGTGATGTTGAAAAGGGGTGTGCATCACGTAGGGCAATCAGGATCTAAGCATGCCTATTTCTGTCGTTTCCAGGTTCGGGGTCCTTATTCGTTGATCAAGTTATTCTTTGTTCACAGTTTAGCCTGGAAATTGAATATTTGTTTGAGTATTGTATCATCATAATCGGGTTTTTAATAACTTGTTAATTCAAAAATAGGTTTGAATTCTTGTATTGAAGAGACTTATGAAGAGTGCAACTTTTTGAAAAATATAAATGAGGTATATAAGATCAGACTAATAATAATAGCGAGAAATTTCGTATATTTATAGGGATGAAGTTTAATTAGTTTGATTGTTATTGGTTAGAGTATTATGACCAAGACTGAAGCAAAACGTAATAAAAATTAAATTCTATGAATTAAATTCGAGATTTTCTAAAATAAATATACTAATCTGATATTTTATAACTGCTTACTTGTTCTGTTAAAAATTGTGTACTTCTTCAACAACCAACTATACAAAATTTATATCTCAAAATTGTGCCTCAAGTATCCTTTAAATTAATTGTCAGTCGTTTCTTGTCACACTTTTAGTATATCTATCCTAATTCAACCCCGTGTTTCGTATACTCAAATTTGAACGAAATAAATTGTGGGGGTCTCCTTCATGGTTGCTGTTGTCAATTGGTCGCTGGTATCTTTGATGTGGCGGTGGTGCTAGAAGGGATGAAAGGAAAAGGAAGGGATACGTTTAGTCCTGGGCCCACTAGTAGATTCATTAGTAAGGCTACCTAACAGACCCTACCTTCAACTATTGGAATATTGGGAAATTTTATATATAGAAAATGGAGGGGTTTTACTGAGGACTTGCGAGAAAGTCCTCAAAAGTCCCGAATTTCTCTATTTCGCGTAGGAATTCATCTATTGACGAGGGTGGGAACCCTCCGTCACAAAATAATATAATTTTCCAAAATAAAAGTAATTTTCCAAAGTAAAATAAATTTCCCAAATAAAATAAATTTCCCAAATAAAATAATTTCCCAAAATTTACTCAAAAGTATTGATATCAAAAGGACCCAGAGATTTGTTATATATACCACATATTCACGAGTGATTATAAAGAATCATCCTCAAAACGTCCTCACCTGAACATGAATGGCAAGGGTTCCATCCTCCTCTCCTTTAGAGATCTCCACGTAAACATCGCCATTTTGTTCCACGTTGACGACCTTGCCAGTGCAGCTTCCGTTCACCAAGTTACCGGTAATCACGTCGCAGTATTGGCCAGGAGGCAGACTGGTCTTCACGGTCGCTCTCATATCGTATTGGTCGCCATTGAACGCCACGAATCCCGAGTTGCCTCGGGAGAATGCGATCTGATTGCTGCCATTGTCCCACCAATCGTTGACGCTTGTTCCGTGAACTGTGTTACGGAAACGAACCATGTTGTAGATTTGTCTCCAACGGTGTTCACAGATCCATCCTCCGTTGCAGCTGTTGTCCGCGTTGAACGAGGGGGATTGAATGTTCCCGTTGCCATCGTGAGGAGGTCCTTGATCGCTGATGTCGAAGGCGAAGGAGCTCATCACTCGGGGAGTACCGAATGGATGGGCCAACATGAAGGCCACAGCCATCTGCAAGAAGTTTAGTATAGAAACTATTAGATAGTAGTTAGGTATTTGGTGATCTACTGAATTAAGTTAGATTTTCGTTGATGGTGGTTTACTAGATTTGCAGGATATTTATTATTATGTTGATGCTTCTAAGAAGGTATCATAGAAGATAGAATGGAATTAGAGAGAAACTTTGAATATACTTAATTTAGGTATGTTTAGTTACGTTGTAAATATAGGTCTTTGGAATTTTTGATCCTGAGTTGGAGATTAGAATACATTTTGCAAAATACTATTTACATTTTAGATAATTGTAATTATTCAGTATTTTTGTAGAAATATTTCAGAATTAATATCAGGAAATTTTGCAAAACTGTGAAAGGAGAATGTTGAAGAGAAATTTGGAGAAATATTTATACTTTAAGTGGTATTTAAATTCGTGATTTTGTAATATCAGTAACACATATAGGAATAGTAATGTGCGAATAATATTGGGAAAATGTATTAGAATATTAATAAAATTCTTTCGAGAATGAAACAGAAGAATCAAATATATCGAATATTAAATCATTTACAATCGCACTGAATTTTACGCTATTATTGTAATAATTCAATATTTTGATACGGATATCTTAAAATTGAAGACAGAATATTTAACCAAACGCCAAGGGAAGAGTATCAGCATTTACGCGCCAACGTCTGACCAGTGGCTGACCTATTCTACTTGCTGACTTTCGCAGCCTTATGTTCGTCAACCACAATTCTTCGAATCTTCAAATACCTTCCATTTCGCAACAAAACAACTAAGAATAAATACTTCTGCATAACTATACTCCATGACATCGTCAAATAATATCCAAAAATTAAACATACTGATATTCAAAATTAAATTTCGTTTAAAAAGGAAAAAGAAAATGTAAAAGTGTCTTACGATACCTTGTATGTCTTGGAGGATTTATAAGTGAGTACTTGAGAATTGCCACGCTGTGTATCGTGATTGTCAACGAAGACGAGAGCATCTCTGGGTGGCAGGAGGCCCCATTGCTCTCCCCAGTTGACCAACCATTTCAGAAGGTTGTTGCCACGAAAGGCGTTGCTGATTTCAGCCGCGTATTTAAACTCGATGACACTGGCCATCTGGTTGTATTCTCGCTTCGAGATAGCCTCGTTGCCATAATCGATCACTTCCTGGAACACGTACGGCCTGGCGTTCGGAGGGAAGCCGTGTTCCGTGTTCAGATTCTTCAGCCTCGAGTAGATGATGTTCAGATCTCTTGGCCACATGTGTTTGGCAGCATCGACTCTGTAGGAAAATTGTTGACGCTAATTTGCGAATTTTATATCGTACATTACAACGAACTTCGGGTATTAATTTATTCATAAAATTAAAAATTTTGAATTATCAATAAATTATCAAATTACTATTAATTCGAGACAGATGAATAGATTAGATTAATGAAATTGACAATTACAAGAGAATTAAATTCGGATATTACAAGTATATTGTTAAGACGAGTCAGAAAAGTAATATCCTACTTGACAACTCGAGTACTCGTATTGTGATATTGCTGTAATAGCAACTTCACTGTCAAATTACAATACCATTGCGACCACGATATTTTACATCGACTTTGAAATACAGACAATCCTGTAAAGAAAACGGATAAATAAAATTTTGATTCACGCCTGATAATTATTATTGCGTTAATATTGACATTATATATATTTGACAACCTCAGGAAAGAAAACTGTCGGGGGTCTCCTGAAGGAGGGTTGCTTTTCTAGTTTTGTGGTTCCTACGGTGCTGTCGGTTTGATTAGGTTAGCATATGCTAATTTCCAGTCTCTCTAAATTAGGTGGCAAGGTAGAAGGATATCAGGAAAGGATGCATTGCGTCCTGGGCCTGCAAGTGGACTTGTCAGTGAAGCTTCCCAGCAGGCCCTGCTTTAGGCAGGGGATACTTAAGTAAGATAGGAACTTATATTTATGGGAGTCGAGGGTTCACCAAGATCTTGCAGGAAACCTCAATTTTCCATCTGGCAGTGAAGATGTGAATGTCGGTTAGGTTAGGTTAGATTAGGGTCAACCCTAGATCGAGGGTTCACCGAGAACCTGCAGGAAACCTCAAACCTCCATTTTCCATCTACCAGTAAAAATGTGAACGTTGGTCGCTATAGAACTATACCACGAATTAAATAATCGTAATTGCATTTTTTAAAAATCTTCACGTCACACACTGGTTAAAAATCATTGCTGTGATATGTGAATGTTGGTCGCAACAGAACTGTACCACGAATTAAATAATCGTAATTGCACTTTTTAAAAATCTTCACGTCACACACTGGTTAAAAATCATTGCTGTGATAAGGTAAGACCATAAGGTGGTATACAAACCGGAAGCCAGCTACACCAACGTCGATAGCGTCGTTGAGGAAGTCTGTCAACTTGGATCTGACATATTCTTGGCTCTGGTCCAAGTCATGAAGACCGGTCAATTCGCAATTTCGCACGTTGCTGGGATTATTGTAGTTGTTGACCGAGCATGAGTGATGGAAATTGGCATCTGTGTAAGGCACCTGGTAATACGCCATGATGTACGTGTTCGCTTCGGAGTTTCCGGTACCGCGAGCATCCTTCCAGTTCCCTGACATGTGATTCATGATAACGTCCACGTAAATTCGGACACCTGCGTTGTTACATCTCGCCACCATATTGATGAATTCTTCTCGTGTGCCCGATCGCGTGATCCATAGATACGAAATCGGTTGATAGCGTTCCCACCATGGTCTGTTGTCGATCACCAAGTTCTCTTGGATAGGTGACACCTACACAGGTACGTTGAAACGTGTGTTTATTGTTAGATGTGTCGATGATAATTTTTTGGGGATTTCGATGAAGAAAGCTGCAGTAATGTTTATCTTTTACATAGAGAGTTGATATATAATATGTATATATTTAGATGATTTTTGTTTGTGTGATTTCGATATATAGAATTGGAATATATAGGAATTTAGGTAATACTGATTTCTGTGCTTTGGATGTAAAGAGACTTTTGTGTTCTTGATAGGATCAAATTTAGATATGTATTTTTATGCAAAAATGTGTTTTCCTGTATAAAAATTATTTTTTAATTGTTATTTAATTAAAAGAATAAGATAACTGAAGATGATATAAAGATGAAATGAAGATAACTAGATAGAGATAGCTAATTACGATCTCTGATATTATACTTGAGTTATTGATGGTTAAATAAAGTAGATTGGAAAACAGATTTGATATGATCTTTTGAAAATCTTATTTGTTTTTTAAATCTCAGGTAATACAAGGAAACACTTGATATTGAATTTTATATAACCAGTCATTTTAACCGATTAAATGATCGGTCATGGTAGATAAAAGTGGTTGCGTATAAATTTAAGAAGAATAAAAAGAAAGAAAAATGGAATATGAAAAGAAATATGTATATTGACAAATTAATTATGAAGTATTCAGTGAGCAAAATTGCGGAGTCAGGTAATAAAACTTCTATTTAAAATTTGATTCAAAATATTTATAAATTTACGTATATTTACAATTCTTTTTTAATTTTTCAAACTTTTAATTTCATTTAGATCAATGGGCGATAATAATATTCATCTATATTTTCTTGTTTAGTTTTTGACATTTAAGCTTCAACATAGCTCATGGAACCTTTTTAACTGATTATATTCTTTTTCCATTTTTTTATAATTTTTTTAAGTCTTCCATGATTCCAATTTTTAATTTATTTGAAAATCTAACAGTAATAATCATGAATGCTTCTTTCTTAAGTAACTATACTTTTTCCATAATTTTAGAACTTTTCTGGCTCCGAAAATTTCAATTTTACTCATCAAAGATTATTTTCAAAAGTAACTATAATTCCTCTACTTTCTACAATTTCTTTTCACCTCATAAATTTCTAATTTTATTTGTATCATAGCCTAGTAATATTTTTCATATTTTATAGAATTTTTATAACTCTTCCAAATTTTTAATTTCACCCATCAAGTGTCATTTTCAAAAATAACTATAATTTCTCCGCTTTCTACAATTTTTGTATGTTCTATAATTTCTTCGTTTTCTACAATTCCTTTTCACCTCTCAAATTTCTAATTTCATTTGTATCATTGCCTAGTAATATTTCTCATATTCTATAGAATTTTTATAACTCTTCCCAGTTTTGTAATTTCTCTCACCGATAATCATTTCCAAAAATAACTATAATTTCTTCGTTTTCTACAATTCCTTTTCACCTCTCAAATTTCTAATTTCATTTGTATCATTGCCTAGTAATATTTCTCATATTCTATAGAATTTTTATAACTCTTCCAAATTTTTAATTTCACCCATCAAGTGTCATTTTCAAAAATAACTATAATTTCTCCGCTTTCTACAATTTTTGTATGTCTCAAATTTATAATTGCATTTGTATCATAGTTCAATAGTATTTTCTATATTCTGTAGAATTTTTATAACTCTTCCAAATGTTTAATTTCACCCACCAAGTATGATTTTCAAAAATAACTATAATTCCCCCGCTTTCTACAATTTCTTTTTACTCCTCAAATTTCTAATTTCATCTATATCAACGTCCAATGTGTCCAACGTTCCGTATTGGAACATTCATTAGTATTTTCTCATGATAATTCATCATTCATACCTGAACTCCACCGTAGCCCATGGGTCCCAAGAAGTTCTCGCACTCTGTCGCGATGTCGTTCCATTTCCACTCGAAGAGATGCACAATGGCGTCGTGGCCAGGTGCGAAGTGCGGGTCCTTGTGGTCGCCCTCGGCCGCGGTCAAAGCGAGCAACGCCAAGAATGTGGCAGTTACCAACATGGCTGTCAGATTCTATCACGAATCGTGTCCGGCTCCTGATATATAAACCGTCGTAGCTTACATAATCGTTTTCCGCCTGTATCCAAAGGTCACACCCCCTGCCACCGGTACCGTTTTATCGATACGACTCGCTCTATTGTCTATCCGATGAAATCATACGTCTTACGAATCGCACTTGTTTCGCTAGCTAGTCTTATCGCCGTGGTACTGGAGTAAACAGAGAAGTGTTTTCGATGGTGCAACCAGTCTCTTCTGACCACTCGAGTTCTGCGTTTGTTATCTGTGTTTATGGTAGAGAAATAGTCGAGTTATGCAGCGCTTGCATTTCTCAGTTTTCATGAACAATTTTCCGGGTGCAATAATTTAGATAGTGATGTCTAAATGTCTTTTGGCAATTTCAGTTTTAAATGTTACATCTTCGTTTGTTATAGAAAAGTATAGTAATTGATTTACGTAATTTTTGTGATTTTGAGTTTTGATGTATAGTAGTTTTTGAGATGTAATAATTTGAGGAGGGATTTTTTGGTGTCTTTTGACGATTCGTCGTCTTCGTTTCTTATGGAAAATCATAGTAATTGATTTATGTAATTTTTGTGCTTTTGAGTTTTGACTTATAATAATTTTTGAGATGTAATAGTTTGAGAAGTGATTTTTTGGTGTCTTTTAACGATTTGCTTTCTTCGTTTATTATGGAAAATCGTAGTAATTGATTTACGTAGTATTTGTGTTTATGAGTTTTGATTTATAGTAGTTTATGGGACGTATTAATTTTAGGAGTGACTTTTTGGTGCCTTTTGACGATCCCAGTTCTAGATACGTCATCTTCCTTTGTTATAGGAAAGCATAGTAATTGATTTACGTAGTTCTTGTATTTTTGAATTTTGGTATATTATTTTCGAGAAGTATGAATTTATGAATTAATTTCTTAGTGCCTTCTGACGATTCGAATTTTATACTTGCCATCTTTATTTATGACAGAAAAGTAATTGATTTATGTAACTTCTGTATCTTCGTTGATTGTATATATAATATAATGTAACATAAATTTTCGAATTACGTGGAAATTAGCTCTCCTGTTTAATGGTACAATGAAGAATGTTGCAATGATTTAGGTTACTAAAATAAAATGAATGTCGTCGACTAAAAAATTTCGAATAATCCAAATAACTGAAAAATATAAATTAAAAAAGTTACTATTTAATAATTAAATTCAACAGTTCAAAATGTGATGTATTGTGAAAATTTTAATAATACAGTATACCGTAATAAAAATTCTATTTTTACAGCCTGGGAACGTTATGTGACAATCAACGTGTTGCTCGAGTAATTAATTAAATTAGAATACAGCAAAAATGTAGTAGAATAAATTATAGTAGAACAAATGTAGAATAAATTTCAATAATTTTATTCCTCTTCACGTTTATTTTTTTTCTAATATCATTATCGAAGAATAATAAACGATTCATTTCCACGGCATTATGCAATAATACCGTAACAAAATTCTCGTTAATTAAATTCTAATGAGACAATTGCCACGAAAGAGGATATATCTGTGAAATAATTTTCAAATGTTTATAAAATTACTTCTATGTGATATATTCTTTGTTTGGATGAAAATGAATCAAAGTGATTAGCGATAATATTTCCAAACATCATAAATTATGGTAATCATATTTTTCTCGATATTTCGTCATTGCTGGTGAAATGATGCTTTCATTATTCACACCGATAGTTTTATAGAATGTTATCGCATCCGTGACAATTGCGATAACGACATTCCACGCGATACAATTTTTCTTAACAAGTGTTTCGACTCGTAACTGATGTGCATAAAAGTCATAACAAACGATTAATAATCTTGTAGGAATACGTGACTTGTTCGTATCAATGAATAATTAGCCATTTCGAAAGATGTTGAAAACACGTACTTGCAACATCTGAAAATAAATTACCGCTATATGAAAAAATTGTTTAAATATACATCTTAAGGCATGAAAATTTCATGGAAATTGTATTCTCTTCTGAAATATTAGTAATTTTCTCTTGTTGCTAAAGAAAATCTTCAGCTACTGAATAATTATCCAAATATAGTCTATTTTTAATTATAATAAATAAAATTTTAAATCGTTTAACATAATTACCGACTTAATATACCGTTATTAATTTATTTATTATTATTTGTATTCTGTTATCTAAATAATAATCTATTTTCTATTTCTTTAAATTACTACTATTATTTACTGCAATTTTAATTTTATTAGGTTTCCTTTTCCACTGCTACAAAATAAATTTATTCCAGTACTACTTATTATTTTCTACTAAATTTATTATTATTAACAATAACTCATATTGATTACTTGATGTTACTGTAATAATTAAAAATTTTATACAATAGTAAATTAATTCTGATTCAATTAGAATTAATATACACTCAGAAGTTGACTTACAATATTTAATTTGAATAAAATCAAATGATAATGACAATTTCATTTTACTCAATAATAGAAAATAATATCAGAAGAATTTTTATTCGTATAAAGCTATGTAATACGAGTCTTACAATTAGTAGGGCAGAGTATATTATCATCAAAACAAAGAATTATTCATCGGAAAGCCTGTCAGATAATCATGTGGTCAAACGTGACAATCATTAACATACATTTCATGCAATCACTCGGAGTATTATTCATTTCCATAACGGAAGGACGATAATGTACGAAGCCAAAGATCGTCATCTCGAATCAAGAATACTCGAGTAAGTTATTTATGGAACGTCTAATTGCAATTCAGAATTCATCGAGAGTAAACGCATGAAAGAGTATATCGCAAGTATCATGCGAAAGAGTGAACATAATTAGTTATATTTCACGAACAATTTTTACCCTGACCAATAATATTGTTAAATAATTATTTCACATATTTGTACGAATATAATATCCACTACTAACGCACCTTCCACCTGCTTTTTCCTGTTTCAGCTTAATTAGCAAATGATAAGAAATATCCCGTTTTCGGGGAGAATTAATTCCCCTTTAATTGACAGGTATTAAATGCCACTATAGCCCTGTGGTACGTGGTATTTTGCGAATCTTCAGCACATTACTGCCTGATTTGTGAACCTAATAAACCTTGTACTTCCGTTGCGTTTACTGTTATATTACATCGATGAATAACCATGATTACGCCATTTACATTCGTGTTGCTATCACGAGTTATAGGAATATTCATATCCCTGTAATTGTCATTCAAAGACATTGTTATTTTTTTGAGATAATGGTATCAAAATTATTGTCCATTATGTCATTTACTTATTAATGAGTTAATAATAATAATTTAAGTCTGGCTGAGTATCTGTGTGCGTGCGTTGTGTGTTTGTCAGGTGACGTCTCGTGGAGAGCCGAGTGCCAACAGTATGCTTCATGACTTGTCGGAGTGTGCACATTCTGTGTTTGATTTCTTCGCTATAAGATGCTTGTGATTGTCAATTGAGCAAAGGACATGTGTCTTTCTTTACCTAAACCGCATTACAATTTACCATTAACTGGGAAGAGAGTAGGACACATTGATCCCACATCCTTCAGTGACTACCAAATTGCACCAATCATCAGCACTTGCTATCATTGACATCTTATTTTATCTCCCAATACTCATCCAGATCCTTAGATGTCTAAGACGAACACGAGACTATGGCCCATCATCATTCGTTTTGACCTGAGGTTATGCACTTACTGTTCCACAATCATTCTTCAGATGTACTCACGCATCTCACAAAAATAAGTTATTTAATTCCGTTCTTGTCAATTTCACAAAGGATCTTTGTCTTGCTTTATCTCGACTACGTTAAAATTTACCAATAACTAGCGCACTCACTCTACCACAATCATTCCCTACATGTACTCACGCATCCCACAAAAATGACTTATTTACTACCGTTCTTGTCAAATTTCACAGAAGGCAGGTGTCTTCCTTTATCGCAACCACGTTAAAATTCTCCAACAACTAGCGCACTCACTTTTCCACAATCATTCCCCACGTGTACTCACGCATCCCACAAAAATATATTAATTAATACCGTTCTTGTCAACTTCACAGAGAACACGTGTCTTTCTTTACCTTGATCACATTGAAATGTGCCAATAACTAGCGCACTCACTTTCCCACAATCATTCCCCACATGTACTCACTCATCCCACAAAAATGAATTACTTAATACCGATCTTCGCAATTACACAGAAGGCACATGTCTTTCTTTATCTCGACCACGTTAAAATTCATCAATGACTAGCGCACTCACCTTTCCACAATCATTCCTCTTATGTACTCACACATCCCACAAAAATAAATTATTCAATGTTATTCTTGTGAATTTGACAAAGAATACGTGACTTTCTTTATCTCGATAACGTTAAAATGCATCAATAACTAGTGCAATCACTTTTCCATTACTATTACCTACATGCACTCACGCATCCCACAAAAATGACTTATTTAATATCGTTCTTGTCAATTTCACAAAGGGCACGTGTCTCTCTTTATCCCGGCCCCGTTAAAATTCACAAATGATTAACGCACTCACATTTCCACAATTATTTCTAACACGTACTCACGCATCCCACAAAATAAATTATTGAATACCGTTTTCGTCAAATTTCACAGAAGACACGTGTCTTTCTTTATCTCGGCCATGTTAAAATTCACCAATAACTAGCACACTCACTCTACCACAATCATCCCACAAAAATGACTAATTTAATATCATTTTTGTCAATTTCACAAAGGTCAGGTGTCTTCCTTTATCTTGACCACGTTAAAATTGACCAATAACTAGCACACTCATTTTTCCACAATCATTTCCCACATGTACTCACGTATCCCACAAAAATTAATTACTTTAATACCGTTCTTGTTAATTTCACAAAGCTCACGTGTCTTTCTTTACCTCGAATACTGTAAAATTCATCAATAACTAGGAAGTCAGTGCGCCATATTGACTCCACATTCCTGAGTGACTATAAAATTTCAGCTACCATCAGCACATGCCATCACCACCTAGTTTTCGACCATATCCTTCAAGACCCACGAAAATCATCCCGTTACGACGTTGGAACCTACGTTTAAACTCCTTCTCTGGTCTCCGCTCGA